ACATCTCCTGTATGTTCATGGTTAAAAAGCACATATTGGTCATGCTTTTTAAGTATAAAAACAAAAAAGGAACCTTATTTAATGTCAAATAATGGAGTATTTCTCAGTATTTTTTTTTTAAGTTTGAGCTTTCAACAACCCAGCCTTATTTTTCATAGCAGTTCCTGGACAGCAGAGAGGTCACCTGGCTGGCGTTGGATTAAGTGTACTGTTGGGAGCGCTCCCTTGCCTGGACGGTGCGGGACAATCGCCCTCCTTCTACGGAGCATCTGCCTGTGTTGCACAAACACTGCTCTTAATCATAACAGCCCCAATCCTGTTTATTTGGTCCAGTATCAATTTAACTTGGGATTTATTCCACCTGTTTCTTGTTTTCATGTTTAGTTACTTGAGACTATTTAATGGAAGGGAAAATTTTTTCCACATTTACAGATCTGTTTCACAGCTATACACAAATCTCCACCACTGTGGATGTGGAGATAGTTTAAAATAGATCGTGCATCAGGATTTCCTTTCTAAACATCAGTTGCCATGATTTGCAAAAGTAAGAACAAGTTCTCAATTCTGGTTATAAAAAAAGATGTTTTTCTATAAAAATGCAGACTCTATTGGATTATTTCCCCCTCAGCACATCTTTACATAATAAATGCACATTGCCATGCAGCTTCATTCTTAGCCTGTACACACTATCAAAAGCTAGAAATTCCAACCATCTGTATCACAGTATTCTCATCTCTACAGGACCTCAGAGACATGATGTTCTTCGAGGTCTAGCCTGTGCTTTAGACAGCCTGAGTGACCTGATGTGCCTTTGTAGCTGCTGGTCCATAGAAGGTCCAGCGGAAGAAGTCTGCTGGAAGTTCCATCCAAGGAAGGTTCAGGTTTTTCCAACACTTCTCAAGGGATCCAAGCCAATGCGAGTGGGACCTCACTGAGATCTGACATTAATGCAGCAGAGGACTGATTCCATCTCGGAAATAAATATCTGTACCAGCAGTAGAAAATTATGACAGTATTATGGTATCAGCAGAAACTACAGCCTAGCTACTCTAGCAAACCCTTTCAGTAGTGTATAAGGATTATAACCAAAAAGTACTTTTGGAACACAGCAAAGTATTACAGCACAGCAGGTGTTGACTACATAGAGCAATAATGATTTTATGCAGGGTGACCAATGACACACCTTTTGTCTTTGAAAATGTATTTTGAATCCTGACATTGACATGCATGAGTGAAAGAGCTGCCCCAAATAAAACAGAAGCGTGTATTTCTTTCTTTAGATGTGATGGAAGATAAAAATACAGCAGTGGAGTCTTTGAAGCTCACTGTGAAACATCTGTGCTCCACAAAGATTTAAAAGTAGCACATGGTTAGCAGAAGTGCTACTTTTGGTAGTTCCGCACTATCCTGGAGAAGTGCACATTTTACCTGTTGGGCATGTAACAGCATGCTTTGCTGTTCAACAGTGGGTACTGGAGCCCATGGTAAACTGCAGTGCTCGCTATTGAAACTGAATGGCAAAAAAAATGGGATTTGTGCTTCTCTATTTTTTACTCTCCTTATTCACTCTTCCCAGCAAGCTTGAAGGGAAAATCCATAATCTTACCCATGGTCCCTCGTTCTGCTTCCCTCAGTGTCCCTAATGCAGCGTAACATTCAACAGTGTATCGCCTTTGCAATTAGATTGAACTTCTCCTCTCTGCTGTATGATACCTGATCTGTTTTTGTATGCTCAAAGTGACAGTAGCTAGGAGCTGTTGGTTAGTTATGATTGCTTTTTTAACTGATTGAAGTCTGGAGCGTGTTTGTTTCAAACAGTAATCATAACAAGGGAAATCCAGTGGATATCATCTGTAAAAAACAAACAGTACGCGCACACTCAGAAAAGTCAAACCACAATAAGAAGCAGCACAGACAGCATGTGGCCCTGTTTACATACACAAAATTAACAGTATGAAATCCAATTAGGAAGGTGGAGATCGTAATCATCACATTAGACAGCAATTTCCAGAGTAGGTGAACTCAAGACTTCAGCATTTCCTTCCCTGACTGAATGATGCTGAGTTGTTAGATTTATCTCGTTCCTTTGGTTTCCAATAATGTGATTGTGGGGAAAGGTCAACAGAGAGCACACAGCCAGGGCACGAACGACAGGCGTTTCAGCGGAGCTTTTACTAGCCTGTGTGGCAGGGTGCAAGCTCTAGAAAAGCTTTACTACTTACCAGGACTGTGGACAAAGAGATTCCCTAACCGGTGTCTTTTGCTTTTGTGCAGTCACAGAAGAGTTGTGAAAGGGAAAATATCACGGGAATTTCTGCTGCAAATGTATGCATGCAAGAAAAGTATGATTTCAAGCTCTTCCATGCACCACTAATCTAACAAGGGTTGTCTGACATAGTGCTTCATGCCCTGAGAGAAGTTAGACTGATAGATCGTTAATATCTAGGTTTATATTTCTCTGTGGGTGTCCTTGCCGCACATGGCCAAATATCTTATCTTTCTAATAATTAAAAGGAAACAGTTACAATATTGAAAACTGTCATGTGTTGAAAAGTGTGTCCTGGCACGGCTTCCCTTTATGGCTAAACACTCAGGTAATTCACAAAGAAATCAAGAACGTCTGGGGCACGCATGTCATACTTTGCAGTAATTACCCATTGGCACCTGGGTTCAACTTTGCAAACCTCTTCACAAAAGCCATTACCTACGTGGTGTTGCTGATACCGGTGAGACATTTCTTAGCCGTGCAACCTGATGGGACTCGTGCAGCACCGTGCAGCCGGCGGCGAGGTACTGGCACTGGGCATCCCGCACAGCACAAGTGCTGAGCCCCAGCCGGGGAAACTGTTACCTACTCTTACTCGTCACTTTTCCAACAAGATTTAGTTAACCTTGGGATTACGTTTCTGTCTGTTCCAGGGATGCAATTAAACTCTAATAAAATAACCATTTAAACTGTTAAATAGAGTTTTAAAAAGCTCTAATCCCCCCAAAGAAATTTTTCAGCCCAGTTAATGACTGCTTGCTGAAATGTTACGTGTTTAATGAGTTTATCCAAAGAAACCTAGAGAAGGCGCCTGATGCCATAGTACAGAAATGTACAGCAGCTGAATTTATTTTTTTCAGTTTAAACAAATATACTGATTACTTTTAAATAAAATTCTTTCATTATTTAAGAAGTCGTTTTGGTAACAAATTGTATCAATTAATCATATGTAGAACTAGTGTTCTCTTTAAGCACCAAGTACACAAAAACGTTAGCTCTTTTGGACTTTTTTTGCCGCAATATCTCTCATGCTCATCACATGTGATAGAGTTTTGGTAACATAAGACTTTTTCACAGCTGCTGTAACTTTGTGAAACATCAGAAGCTGACTAAATTCCTAGAAGAAACTTGCAGTTTAAAGAACAGCTGAATTCTACGATGACATTTGGAATGGTTTGACAATGATGTCACGCTATGAAAACAGGGACAACAAATAGAGCAGTAATATGGAAAAAATGGGAGTGTATAGGGGAAGTAATGCTTTCTCTTGGAATAGGATGTTTAAGTGTTTCAAGTCAAGGCTTATCATGCCTTGCAGTACTCATAAAATTCCAGATTTTTCAAATTTGTAATTCTACTCATTATTCTCTTCCCATTCTATGGGTTGCTGATTTCTAGTATTTTCAATAAATAGAAAAATTAGATATATTTCAATATTTTGTATTTTAACAGTGAAACTCTAAGTACATGCAACATTTTCACTTTGATTTTGAATAAAAGAAAAATAAAAATCAGGCTTCCAGGTCATATGAAGAGCGACAGAACCCACAAGGATTTTGTTAGTTTATGACAGGTAAGGACCTGGCCAAAGGAAACCAGACTTTGGGTTGATACATAAGCCCGATGTAGATGCCAGTGGGATGGTTTCTGTAGCAGCCACAACTCTGAAATCTGTGAATGCAAAAACTCTGCTGTAAAACTTCACAGCTAGCTGTGTCACCTGGAGAGCTCTGGTGCTGGAGACTGGGCAGACTTGGGAAGGCCTAGAGCAGAATTAAAGTCCCCAGCTAATGCTGTTTCTGATCATACATTAATACTCTTTCACTCCGTCCATTTACAGGCAGGTTCTGGCTCGAGAATTGGTTCTGGACAGGAAAAAAAAGAGCGAGTAAAGACAGAGTGTCCTTTGTCACATGACAAATCGTATGGCAATAACTAATGTGGCCGTGCAAATGACACTTTCTTGTTACTGATCAGTTGGGATCGTCTAACAAGGAACCACATTTAGGTTTTAAAACTTAAAGAGCTTGTGAAATACTAAGTCATTTTTTTTTCATAATTGTGTTTTGAATGCCTGCAGGTGCCCCATGCAGCAGACTCATTTATAGATGATCTTTTAAGCTGTAAGTAGCATATCCCCACTGCAAGAATTGTTTTGATGATAAATGCTATCATCTGTAGCCAAAAATTTTGAAATAAGACTACCAACCTGCATACTTTCAAGCTGCTTAGGTAACCAGAATGTACTGAAAAGCCAGCCAAGACAACGTGGCTAAGCTTTCAGCCATCAGCAGAGCTGGGTGAAGATAGAATACCTCAAGGCATAACATTTTGTTGTTTGTCAGCGTTGGACTGTTTTCTGTGACTCTACCATTTTCCTTTGGCTTTAGCCAAGAGAACAAGCAGCTACTGCTGTTTCGAAACAAATTAAATAAAAGAGATTTATCTCTACGGAAAAGGCTAAGTGACCAATGCTTTTTCTTGTTTATGTCTCGGAGCTTGTCTTTGCACTGCACCCATGAGGTTCCTGAGCACACGGTACCCTTCCCTCCTACTCCTCGGCTACTGTTGCACAGGCAGCCCCAGCGTTTCCCACACCCCCTCCGCTGAGCCAGGACACCTGCTTTGCTTTCCGTAATAGGGTGTAAATGTGACTCTCAGCATGCGGTCTCCTTAGGCCTCTGTCAGCTAAGTGGAGGTACTCATAATGCTTTATTGTTAACAGTGAGCAGAGCCGCAAGAAGCTCAGTGCTCCTGGATGGTTGAGATCTTGAAGAGCAGCACCAGTCACGCAGTGCAGCAGGAGCCATGTCTCTGCCCTTCCGAAAAGAGCTGGAGAAGTACAAGAACATCAATGAAGATGAAATACTCAGCAAACTCTCGGAGGATGAACTGAAACAGCTAGAGCATGTTCTTGATGACCTTGACCCTGAGGTTAGTAACGGGGACCAAGGGGATCACAGTGCAAAAGCTGCCCATTACAAATGCCACGTACTGCAGCATGTTATATTTGTATTCTGTTGCAGTAGAGGCAGTGTACCCTAAAGGAGGAGCAGCTCAGCTGGGGACAGTTTGGTTTTACTCCTGCTGTGATGTGCCACTTGCTTTTTCACAAGTGTGCCCTTTCTCTGTCCCTTGTCTATTCAGACACGAGCTTGTCGGCAATCTAAATCTTTAATCATGTTTGTACACTGCAGCACGATGAGAAGCTTTTTATGGCTGCTATTTCTGAGCACACCAATAAACAAACAAACATAATGTGTGTCTGTGAAGATCAGGTCTTTTGAACTTCTGGAATCTGTTGACTGTGTCATTCAGCACAGATATTTTAAGCTGAAGAGAATATATTTAGGCATGATTAAGAAAAGTAAGATTCAGCTATACAACCATCATTTTCTAGAGAGCAAGGATAATTTGGATATTTGAAGACACTTTCACAAAGAATTTAAAGATCTCTGGCCTGGGAACCACTTGATCCTACAGTAACGAGGTCAGTCACAAGCGTGCTGGTTGGGGATTCTGACTGTACCTACCCCAAAAGCTTCCAAAGCAATGTAGGAGTTTGAAAACTGGCAGGTAGACTGGCAGATAAAATCCGCTCACTCTGGAGACAACAGAAATTTGAAAAATCACAATAAATTAAAGCTTGTAGTTTTATAGCGCAAATTTATCTGGAAATTAAGGGTGGGCTTTACTGCTCTCTCCCTCCATGCTGCCACTTCCCTCACTACTACCACCACTACAGTGCATTTTCTGGTATTTTCAAGTACCTGGCATCTCAAATAGAGACACAGAACATAAAAAAAAAAAAACCAAAACCAGGCCATGGTGCATTTATAGTCAGGCTACATGTGTGCAGTAGATTGGTAGCACTTTGGGCACGTTTGCGCGTGCACAGATAAAGTGTCTGGTGACTGGAGTTCCCTGGATGTGCTCAGGATTTGCTGGATATTTGCCATGGATCAGATCTACTGTGCGTGTTCTGGCCAACAGTGAAGTGTTTCTGCGGTGTTCTGGGGCGTCTTCAATGTGTTGGCTTTACTGCATACGCACTGCAAAGCCCACCTGCCTGTATTCCTTTCTGAAATTTCTTGGACTGAAATATGGGAGCATTATGCATCTTGCTATATTATGGGATGGAGATGTAATCACATGGTCACGCAGCTACGTGTTGAAAGTGGGGCTTCATCTGCCTGCTTCCTGCATACTCTACATAGCTGAAGTCCACATAATTCACCAATTACTTTCTGTGCATGCCATTCATTTCTAAAGTCCAAGAGACATCTGCATTAGAATGAAAGGAATTTTTGAAAAAATGAAACGAGGGAAAAAAATGGGGAAGAAAAAGGGTAAATGAAGAGAAGAAAATGTACAGTAAACTTATCCCAGTCTATTTACCTGGACTGCAGACTCTGCGGTTATAATACATGTAACACAAAGGGCTCTGATCTTGCTCAGTTCTTTGGTGCTGTGATTGTAAATATGGTTAATAAAAATACTAATAGATGGTACAATGAAGAAGCCTGGAAGATATACCTGTTTTAATGGTTACATTTAGGTAATGTGTGGTGCTGCTGTCACCGAAGAGCATGATGTGAAGTAACATGCAAAGAATGGTTTCACTTAAAAACCAACAGCACTGAAATGAAAACGCTGTATGAAATGGCCTCATCTCCTTTACATGCCTCCCTCTCTTTCACAGAACGCCTTGCTTCCAGCAGGATTTCGGCAAAAGGACCAGACCACTAAACCTGCCACGGGCCCTTTTGACAGAGAACGCCTGCTCTCGTACTTGGAGAAGCAAGCACTTGAGCACAAAGACAGAGAAGACTTTGTACCATTTACAGGGGAGAAGAAAGGTACTGTCCGTCTTCGTGTCGGTGTTGTGTAACAGACTGTCTGAGCACAGCCAGCCACCGCTGCCTGCCTTTTTGTGGAACACACTGGGACAAAAGAGGTGGAGGCTGTTCCTGTGCAGGGGGAAGCTCAGTAGTCAGATCTAGAGCTGTTGCAACTGGAGATGAAGCGGTGGTCTGCCTTGCTGCTCTGGAGTTAGAATGGCAGGTTTAGTCAGGCCCGTTGGTGGGTGTGGGGACACACGAATGCCAGCCCAGCGATGGGCTCAGTCAGCACCTCCCAGGTCAGCAAATGCCTCCATTTCCAGCCAGGAATGGACAAGGGAGGCCTCGCTAACCTCACTGGGACTATTCCCACATTAAGCATTAGACTCCTGCAAGGGTACAGTAGTGGGGGAGGTGTTTAGGAGGAAACGTATTAAATGTCTTTCTAAGTAAGTATTGCCTACAATTGCTGTAAGTAATAGCTTAGGGAATACACTTACAAAAAAAATAAGTATTTTTCCACTTGTTTACTAGCACATCTGGCAATGCTATTCATGCAGATGGTTTCTCTGCTTCCCTTTGCCCCACAGCTACAGGAAAAAAAGGGAAAAACAGGAAAACCTCATCATTCAAACATTGGTAGGATAACCTTAGGGCAGGAACAGTCATATTTTTAAGCGAGCTATGTTCCTTTAGCACCATAATCACCTTTTCCTCATTTATATGCAGTGAATAAAAATGCCTACACCTCAGAACACCCCTTCATTCAAGAAGGAACTTGTTATGTCTGGGTCCATTTTTGACCATCTGATGAATTTGCCATTATTTCAATGGGACCTGCTTAAGGGAAAGCAGATATTTCAAGAAAGTCAAGTGGAACATTTTTTTACTTTATGTATCATTATCGAAGATGTAAAATGTTATTTGCAGGCCAAGAGTTGTTACTGTCATTGCAATGAGTTCTCATTCTCTGAAACAATGGTTTTAGACAGACAAGACAGTTTTCAGCTCCATCTGATTGATGTGTTATTTTATCATGCAGCATACTCTTTAACCTACTTTTCCCTCTGCCGTATCTCGCACTCAATGCTATTCACAGGGTTGATGCTGAGCCCGCTGACATGCAGTGACACGGTAGTGATCCTGCCAGTAGCAGGAGTGATCCAGGACATACTGTACAGAAAAGAGAACAGTTTATTGTATTATGGATTTATTATCAATTGTTTCCCTTCTCCAGTCTCCTGCACGCTGCAGTGTTGCCAGTACAAGTTACTACTTGCAGGTCTCTGCATATTTATACCAACACTTTCAGTCATCTCTCACCGTGCCGATGTTTACTGACTTAGGGCTAAGACTTTGCATTTTGCACTGTAGTCATGCGTGAGGTCTCCAAGCATGCCTGAAACTAAGCACACAAAAACCCAGCAGTGTGTGGAATTGCGTATACCCACAGGACCAGCACTTGATCCATACAAAACTAATCCCTGTATTGTCCGTGAGTGTTATTGTACGCACTGGCTTGTTTATTCTGTTTCACTTTTCTTTTGATGAGGCTAAAGCAGTATTATTCCTATGTTTGCTTCCAGCTGCCCTTAAAGTGCTTATTAGTGCTGCTTATTAATTCCTGGTGTCTCTGGTGTGGAAATACAACTCCTTTACAAACACAAATACCCACACATATCACTTTTCCTGCAGCACAGAGTGAACTCAGCCATGCTAGTGTTCAAAGCTGTTCTTATTTTGGTTTTTGATTCACTGTGATCATGTACTTCAAAATTACACTTTTAAGAATTATCACAGTTACAAAGTTATGGCATCATTTTAAGCTGAGGGAATTATTCCCTTAATTTCTCCTATTCCTTATACAACACCAGTTTGTGACAAAATCTTCAGTATCAGCTTTAGCAGGTTAAGTCAAATGATAACAACCACATGTTCTGTGATTTCTGCAGTCATTTTACAATTATAATCTAAACACAAAGAATGCTACTAAATTTCTTTGAAGTCAAAGGCCAAATATCATTAAAATACCCTTTGTTTCTTTGTTAATATTAGAAATAACTGAATTAATCTGATGTCCGTACACCTAATGAGGTCTGGTACCTTAACAATTGAGAACTGGATGAACAGCACAGTCTCATTTTTGTGCTGCTTTAAGGGAACTGGCTTTGAGAAAGAATCTGTTTATTTTGAGCTTGATCTCGTAATGGTATTTGCGTCTCTCTTCTGCCCCGACTTGGCAGGAGGTGTCCTACAGAAAGACGACCAGACTTCAAGCACTGGGCTTCTCAGTCTCCTGTTCTTGTTCTCCTTCCCCCTTGGTCCGCCCTGCAAAGCCTTCATGCAGAATCTGAGCCTTATAAAACAGATGACTGAGATCTCCATCTGCCAAATGTACCAAAATCTTCCTATGAATTGCATGGTAATTCTGCTGATCGGGTGAATCTGGTGAAACATGGGGAATGACACGTAAAGGCTGTGCGTGGCTGGCTCTGGATCTTAGAATCCGTGCTTGTAACTGCCACCTTACTTATTTTGACAAACTTGATTGAAGAGGCAATAACAGAATGACTGTATTAAAGTATTAATGACTTGATTTTCATTTATACTAAGATATTTTCTGTGCAAGAAAATAAAATAATCCTGCAAAAACATTTCCAAGATATGATACTACATGCCAGATTTAAAGTCACTTTAATTAGAGAATAATTAGTATTCTTCCAAAGCTTAGTAATTAGTTCAGGATAAATAATTTACATTTCTAAAATGTGTCCTCAAAAGAAACTAAAGAAGAATGTCTCTTGAGGAAAAGCTTATTCTACACCTTTTGCATGTTAATCATCACTAAGGTGTATTTACAGATTGGTAAATATTTACATATTATATAGATGCCTGTTAAATGATTTCTTTACATTATAGCAGCACTACATTGTAGCCATACTGTAAACAGTCCCCAATTAATTTTACGCTAATTCTGCTAGTTAAAAGTTAAGTTCTGAGGCAGCTCCAAAACGCATCCAGTTGTGTATAATTAGAAATGGGGGGTGTTGATGTCAGTGTATCATTTAGCACTGTTTGCCTCCTGAGAAGATTTGTGTGTCAGTAGGATTAGAATATGTCAAGTGTTCTTTAAGCTTTTGTCACTATTTTGTACTTTGATATTTTTCTGCCACTAGGAAAGCATTTATTTTTTCAGATTTAGGAAGTGGTATGCTTCTACCAAATGTTAAGTGACATTTCTACCAGTTCCTATGTTTGTTATGCAGGGCTGATACTGACTTGAAAATTCAGTGATGAGCCGAAAAGAAGGTGGCATTTAAAATATCCTCCTTCCAGAATAGTCTGTGATACATCATTATTGTTTATCTAGTGTCCATGCCTCTCTTTTTGTGTGTTAATGTTTTATGGGAGAGTTCTTGACCAAAAAGCAACACCAAACAGCTGCTGAAGGACAAAATTCAGTTGGCTACGTTGGTCTCTATATGCTGAATACAACCAGGTTTTGATTGTGCTGGAAAACAAGCCAAAACCGATTCCAGAGCTGATGAGGGTACTCAGAGTGGTTAAAGCACAGGAAGTGTTAAAGGTGGGGGGCTGGTCGTGCATGGAATTGCCTTGGTTTTGATTGTAATTGTGGTTTTGAGAGATTGGAAATGCTCAACAGAAATAATCAAACTTATGGCATGCATTAGGTCTTTGGCCCTCTGCCATATTTCAGCTTGTTAACGTACTACATTAATTGCTGTACAAAAAGAGGGGTTTAAGCTTCCATGGGATAGCTCTGAAATTTGGGTGAAAACCCAGGTTTTGCACTGAACTAGGGCCGGGACGTCACAGCCCGACAGGCGCACACCGCAGCTGCCACCAAGCCGTGTCCTCAGACCGCTTCACCCTGCACCCCCCTGTCCCAGGTCAGGGGTGGGAGCTCTGTCTGGATGTCCCCACGGCGAGGGTTTGCAAACGCTCTGTGGGCTTTCAGGAGCTGTTGTGCAACACCGCTGCTTATCTGCCATTCCCACAAACAGAGGGTTCGTTATTCATGAGCAATGGAGGTACAGGGACTCAGGGCTGATAATTGTAGCCATAGTGGTTGGCAGTTCATAAGTGTTTATTTTATGTATTTTTGGATTAGTTCCCACTTAGGATATATATTCTAGAAATCCTTACATAGAACCTGATGCACTACAGAAATTAATTAGACTGACCGACTGCATTTAACTCCTATAGCTGGAACAGCCGGTTATCACACTTAGATCACTGTGAAACCTTTTCTGTGTCATTTTCAAGTTCATGAAAGGTCCAGGAATAAAAAGAACAGGTGGAGAAATAAGGGGCAGTGCAGGCACAAAATATTAAAGAGCAGTGTCAACGCGGCGTGTTTTCTCTCCCTGAAGGTGGTATGTACATCTGAGCTCAGTTAAGGTCTCAGTACTACTGTAACACAAACACAGACTCTTAACAACATTTCTGTTTCTGCTTTGTTGCAGTGGTTCTCTTAACTACATGATACTAATGAAACATAATTGAAAAAAGTTCTGTTGTTGTGAAATATCATTAGATATGAAAAGTTGGCCATCCCATTTTTAATTGCTGTAAAGATTGCTGTTTCAGCCCTTCACCACTGTCCCTGTTTTCTGCAAGGTCTTCCCTTCCTCGCCAAACCATTTTATTTTGGATCCGATCCAGTTCTCATCAAAGTCATGGAGAAACTCCAGCGGATTGGGCTATTATTATTAGTGGCTGGAAAGGGAAGGGGAACACACTTGTATGTGATTAAATGCTAACATTTTTAGCCAACTGATAAAAGGGAAAAGGAAGAAAATAAGGATGATTAAACCAGAGAACTTTTGGCCAAACCCCTGTTTTCAGTTGCTCTGGCAGCGACCGTCTGTCTTGCGTGTTGTGCTGTGCCAAGCAGAGTATCAATATGCGGCACTAGTAATAACGACAGTCATTTTCAGAAGGTCAGAGTATTGGAGTAGATGCTAATGAGTTCCCATTCCAGTTTCTCTAACAGA